GGGCGGAGGCGGCCGGGAGAGGGCTCGGGGGAGAACGCCTTCTCCCGCAGAAATGCTTGTACGGGCCTGACCGAGCCGCCCTGAACAGAGATACACACTTTATTTTATTATTGAACTTCATTTATTTATTTATTTTCTTTCTCTGGTTGGGTCTCCTGGCCTGGGTGAGATTATTGAACTTATTTCTGCAGTGGCACCGGCGCTGAGGATGTGACTGACCACTGCAGGGCGGGGAGGGGGATGGAGAAAATCCTGGTTTGTGTGTTAAAAGACAAATGACATCTGCCGGAAATAAAAAGGCAAATAGCCGGGGTTTTCCTAAAAAATGAAAGAGGTAAAATAACTGTCTGGGATAGAAGCAGTTGTCCCTGATGAGCTGAAATTTGTAGAACTAACACAAATTCTCTGAAATGATGCATTCATTTGCAGTTACTGTTCTCTGTAAAGCCGTTGGAAATTCAAAGGTAGGGGATGTGAATTTGAGAAGAAAGTTGATGCCTTAATTTAGTAAATGATAATAATTACTTTATCCTTACAAGGCATATGTCTCAGAGGTAAATGGAATCTTTCTGTTCTGCTAGAAATACAAATATCTCTAAATCTTTTTTACCATTTTCGTATGTCTTGTACTACAAACAAAGCTGCCCTTAAAATGCCAGTATGGGTCTGACTGTGAGATAGCATGGATGCATCTTACACCTTGAAAAGTATGATTTTTCTGGTATAAATATCTCAGCTCTGAGACCGGAACAATCTAGAGCAGCAGACGTGAAGATGAGCTGCTGTAAGTGCTGTTAAAGAGGGTTGGGTTTTTTTGTCAGCATGGATATTTTGAACCATGTTTGTACTTCTTTACAGCCCTAACAGATATAGCTGTGTCAGCAGTCGTGCTTAGAGGTGGGCCTGACCTTGCAATCGCCTGAAGAAGTGCCTGCCAGTTTCTTCAGACTTTTCTCTCATGTCTGCTCCACCCTCCTTAGGAGTGGAGAGTCCTTCTCTGCTCGGTTCTTCCTCCTTGTATTTTAAATATGAAGGCCGTGCTTTTATTTTTCCATCTGGTTCTTGCAGTTAGGGGGCACCATTTACAATTACGGCCTGTCTGGCTCCATGTGGGAGGCATCGGTTTTGGAAAAATGTGCTTTAACCTACTGAGAAAACTCCCTGTTTTTTAGAACTTCTTTTTTGTTGTATTAAATGTAGCTGCTGATCTAGATCACTCGTTTCTACTGACGAGTGCTGCATAATTCTGTAGAACTGCAGTCAGCTCCTGGGCTTTTTTTATGCTGCTTGACAGGCTTTATGTGGGCTTGGTGCTAAGGAGTTCTCTCTGACCTCAAATTCCTTGATAGACAATCTGTCAGCTTTGGAAATTCCAGGAGAGTGGAAGAAAGAGGATACAGTACTGGTGTATGGTATCTTTTCATGCATGTATATCAGCATTTCAGCTGTTCTTTGCTCCTCCGTTTTATACTTGTTAGGTGCCTGGAATTGAAGGGTACAGTTTTTATTGGATTCTTATGATTAATGCCTTCTTTTCCAGGGGTTTGCCACCACCGCAACAGCAACAGATGCTGAGCTTACGGGCAACAAATCAACCATCGCTGCTCAATGCCAATCCTATGCTTCAGCGGGCCTTACTCATGCAGCAGATGCAAGGTACTGTCGTTATGGGAGACGCTTACTTATTGGAGTTATTTAATCATCCTTCGTGGACTGAAACCAGTATGGCTATTTCTTGCTGAACCATTGCAGTCCTTGTATTTGGCAGTTCTGATTGTCGTCTTTTTTTTTTTTTCCTCTTCAAATTTGTCCATAGTCCACACTACAGTTGTTGAAAATCCCATGTGCCCAACTGTTCACAACCAGCACTAGAAGGTATCAGGTTAGATATTAAATACGTGCCTTCCCTCTTAGACTTGGTAGAGAGAGTATTCTTCCATCAATATATTTAGATAAAAAACTTATATTTTTATTATTTGTCTCGGTTGGAAAGTTAAACCAATGTATTTCATTGTTATGTATATGCTAGCCTTGTGTCCTGGTTTTGGCTGGGATAGTTAATTTTCTTCCTAGTAGCTGGCATAGTGCTATGGTTTGGATTTAGTATGAGAATAATGTTGATAACACCCTGATGGTTTAGTTGTTGCTGAGCAGTGCTTACACCAGTCAAGGACTTTTCAACTTCCCATGCTCTGCCAGGGGCACAAGGAGCTGGGAGGGGGCACAGCCAGGACAGCTGACCCCAACTGGCCTAAGGGCTATTCCAGACCGTATGACGTCACGCTCAGTATAAAAACTGGGGGGAGTTGGCACAGGAGCAGCGATTGCTGCTTGGGGACAGGCTGGGAATTGGTCGGCAGGTGTTGGGCAATTGCATTGTGCATCACTTGTTTTGTGTATTATTATTATTATCATCATCATTTTCCTTTGCTGCTTTATTAAACTGTCTTTATCTCAATCTGGTTTTCCTGTTTTTTATAATTCTTTCCCCTATCCCACTGGGGAGTGGGGGGAGTGAGCAAATGGCTGTGTGGTGTTCAGCTGCCTGCCAGGTTAAAGTGCAACACCATGTTTGCAGTAGACACTTGTCTTTGTCCAAACTTAGTGCAGTACAAAGAAATGAAGTATACTGTGGTGGAAAATGGTTTGGGTTTCAATTGTCTTGTGAAATTTCAATTCCTTGAAATGACTGTCATTTGTGTGGTAGATAATATCACTGTTCTTCCATCACTGTGTTTCCACAAGTGATTTTTTTGCCAGATACGGTGTTTTCAAAACAAGTTGATGAAGCTGCCTTAATAATAGCATTGCTAATGTAAAGATATTAGGAATAAAGCTAGGTTTTTATTTTTGCTCATGTCTTAACCTGACAGCTCTTTTCAACACAGAAAATCAGTACCTGGGATAGTTTTAAAGTGCCTAGTTTAGATTAATGCCTGCAATTTTTATCTTGCCTGTGAATCATGCCCAGATGTGAAGACAATAGATTTATGCTGCATGTCGTTAACTCTCCTTTTGTTCTCCCTTGCCCATTTAACGAGAGGGCTCTCTAGTGACTCCAGTGGCTCTCTACAGATCTCTCAGGTTGTAGGAAACTGGCAGTGAAAAAGGACAACTCACACTCTGAAGATCGGTGTATATATTTGTGTCAGGAAAAAAGTCCGACTCCGCTCTAGTCAGCCATACTTCTTTCAGATATGTTTGATGTCAGCATGGGCTGACCTTATCCCTAAAGCAAAATCTTGTATTGAGAAGTTGTATTCAAATAGTATGCCAAGGACCTGAGGCAAATTAGATACAAGAGCAGGACAAGGTATAGTTAATGAACACTCCACGTGTGCTTTGACTTAGCATTGTTCCTCTTCACCTCTACACGCTGAGTTGAGTTGTGACTTCTCTTTCAATAATCTACATCAGCTAGCCACAGGTAACATGTAGTGTGGTTGGAATGTTCATTGTGGCCCTTCATAGGGATCTGAATTTTTTTTGTCGTTTGGGTTTGGGTTACATGCAAGAATATCTGATGCTGTAGTATTTCTGTACCTGGGAAACATCAGCGTAAATAATTAATTGACTGTATGTGGCTTCAGCAGCGGGAATAGGAAAAAATAAATACTTCAAGTTGAAATAGACATTCAGTTCTTTAAAGGTACTAAACCAAGAGCAGGAGATGATGTCTTACTTTATAGATTTATTTTTTAATACAGCTATGTCTTTTTACAGTAAGAGATCATTTATTGTAAGTAATAAGAGATTAGATTATTTTTGAAGACAAACATGGAGGACTACTTCCTATTGTGTTGCAGGCTTTAAGCTGTGTAGCTTGTTTTTTCAGATTTTGGGTGTCTGTGTCCAAACTTCTTTGCCCTGTTTTGACAGCTTCTAAAGAGCCAGAGTAGGTACTATCTGAAGTGCATGTAAGTCCAGGTTCCCAGAATGGTGGACAGCTTCTGAGGGTGTAGCTGAGGCATCTGGGTGTTTGCATTTCCTCACCTCTGAAATGTGGTTAGCAAAGATTGCCTTCATAAGAAATTGTTGAGACTTAGTTAATAGTCTGTGGGTGCTGAAAAGAACTGTTCAGAAAGCAGAGCATTATAATTGGAAATGGCAGAGTCTCAAGTGTCAGAGTTTAGGTTGACATGTTGAGGTTGCATGATAACCAGGTGGCAGAGAGGACTGTGGAATCTCTTGTTTGAAAAGTCTAGTGTTGTTTTAAATGAAATGCTGTTGCTGGCCTGTGTTAAACAGCATCCATACAATGGTGTGAGCTGCCAGCTGCACAAATGTGGGATGAATTTTCCTTTTTTACAGAGAATTTTTGTAAAACAAGACCTTGTTTTGTTGCAAACACAAGCGCTAGTGTGCTCAGATCAAGTAATTGCTCTAATGATCTTAGCCTGCAGTGACAATCGTAATTAAATAGTCTGATACATGGTAATAGTTGCTATCACATCAAATTGTTCTGGGGGGGGCTGAAGAGGATAGAGCATAGAGCACTCATACAGTGCCCAGTAAAGTATGGGGTCTTGTGTGGAGGAGCCCTTACCCTCTCCCTGCTGCTTGTACAGGTGGCAGATTTTCTCTCTCCTTTGCATGCTGCAGTGTGATGATATGCTGTGTGTTTGCATTTATAGGAAACCTGCGTGGATTTAACATGACAGCGCCAGCACTGCAGCAGTTTTTCCCTCAGGCTACAAGACATTCCCTCCTGGGGCCACCACCTGTTGGGGTCTCATTAAAGCCGACGCGGCTGGGTTTCCCCAGCCTTCCTTTCCAGCGGCAGAACCGGACCTTTCGCAAGGTGGGCTTGTAGTTTCCGGCTGTTTGGGAGCTTTGTGCTCAGTTTGTACTTGCAGCAGTTGACTGTATTATAGGTGGAGAACAACAGAGAAGGGAGAGAGCCTTACAACGAAAACTACGTTTTGCACCGTGCTGCTGACACAGAAATGCAGAAATAAGTCCCATCCCTAAGGTTCTTGTGGCCATATTTACATTTATGATGCAAAGGTTTCTTGTCACTTCTTGCCCAAGAGACATAATTCCGCGTAGCAGAACTGTTTAAACCTAAGATGTAAAAACAGCCTTTAGAAGTACCAGCTTCAAAGTAATTACCATAGAAGAAATCCTGGCTGAGTGCTTTGCTCTTCACAGAGGCCAGAGTTCTGCCCCATTAGCCTTCCAAAGCAGTTTGTTGTTCCCAGACAACTCACTCCTACCATGGACATATCACTCTGCCTCTTTGGGCTGTCTGTTTTCCCTTTTTTTTTTTTTTTTTTTTAAAGATCAGAATCATATTTTTTCTTGTGGACTTTGTAAAATCTACAGATTTTTTTGTAAAAACTTCTCTCACTTTCCACCATTAAGACCTCTTTTTGTATCCTGGAAATGGTTCTTGGATTAATTGACCAATACTTCCCTCCTCTTGGATTAGCTTTGGCATATTTGGTCCCATTCTGTCAAAAAGATATGCTGGATAAGGTAGACTTTACTCTCAGACTGTCCTTTCTCTAGAGTCGAAAGGAAGGAGGGTTATTTGGGACTCTTCTTTTTCCCTGCCTGTCCATCTCTTGCCAGAGTCCTGCTAAAGTGATCTACTCTCTGCAAGCAGCAGGGTCTCCTAGAGCTGCTACTTCAGGCACTGGAGAAATGTCGTGGTCTTCCTGTGGAATTAAAGTGCATTGCTCTGTTTAACCATGTAAACTTGCTTGAAGCAAGACAGTCCGTTGTAAACTATCTATTCCTTTCCATTACCATGTGCTGGAATTCCTGTTCCTGCCCCACAGTAAAGGTCTGGTGCCTTGGGCAGTGTGTTGGGTTTGAGGAAGGACCGAGAGCTGGCAGTGACTCTCTGCCTGTTGCAGGACTTCCAGAGGGTCCCTGACAGGAAGCGGGAACTAGATCCTGGTTCTTCATCTCAGACACAAGGTGATGAGAAAATGGAAATCCCAGAAGGAGTGCAAGCAGGGTCAGAGCAGAACAACTCCTTGCCATCCACAGGTGAGGGGGAGCCTGTAGTGAAACCAAATGCTTCTAGACATGATAAACTTCGCTTTGCTATTCCTGCAGCAAAGACTTGGAGGTGGCTTTAGTCTTAACCAGCTATGTTTCTCTCTAATGGTAAATACTTAAACTGCCTGTGACAGCCCTCTGCTATGTGCTTCATGCATCCTTTTTTCCTGGATATTTTTGGTTATTATAAGCTAGCTCCATATCTCTTCCATGGAAGCCTGTCAGAAGACACTTTGACAGTGAGCCCCATTTAAAATGGGGGGAAAAATAAAACTGGTTTAAAATTAAAGCTTCCACATTGCCTTACCCATCAGAGTCAAACCCATGAAGCAGAACCAGTTGTAGTCAGCATGCTAAGGAAAAGATGGGTTGAAAGAGTACTTGTACTGCAGTTGTCAGAACAGAAACTGCTGGCACTGAATCTCTTAACAGTGTCAGATACAGTACAGGTGTGGGAATGTTATTTCTGACTGAAGAGTGCCTAATTTAAAAATGCAGGCATATGATGAGGTTCTGACCAGTGTATATACAATGGGGAAAATTACCTGATTAAATGGTTGCTGTTGGGTAGATATGCCACCTTGGCTTATATTAATGTTCCTGTGATCTGGGCTCTTGTCACGTAGGTAAAGGACTAAGACCCACTTAGTAGACATAAACATAGATTTCTTTCTGGATGACACCTCATACAGTGACATCTGCAATAAAACTCAAATCTTTTGTCCTTATCTAACCTTGTCACTACAATTCTGAAATTCAGAATAAGCAAGTGTATGGTATTATTTGCTCTAACAGTTTTATTGGCATTGGCCATTCAGTCAGGGAACATGCTCAAGGTGGCATGGTCTGCTTTGCTAAGGAGATCTCCTTCTGTGCTCCTGCAGAGCCAAGAACTCCAACAGAATCTGTGCTGAACATGGAGCCTGCAGCAAAAAGACTGAAGAGGTATTTATTGAATGGGGTATTGAAATAGTTACTGGGTTTAGAATTATTGTCTAATTTTATTTTCTAATAATTAGGGCTGTACTGTACTGGCCTGATGTCTAGCATGTAGGAGGTATTTCAGATGCTTGTGGACAATTCAGAAAATGTCATGATGCTTGCTGAGATCCAGGGTGTTGTAGGGTCTCTGCTATGGGTGATCCAACTATGGGAATGAAAAATAAGATAGGCAGCTCAGGGAAACACACAACAAAGTGGAGTTTACTCATGCGTTCTCCTGCCAGGATTCTTGTAAGAAGCTGAGAGGTTCTTTTCTATTCTGATATATTTCTCTAATTTTCTTCCCTAAATGTCAAAAAAGGAAATGAGCAGCCGTGTATCAGCAGAGGGGAAAAGCCTTAGAATATGTTAGGTTACAGTAGGCATAAGAGAGGGTAGTTTATTTTGAGGAATGAGAAGGGAAAGGGACTCAGTACTCCCTAGTATCCAAGCCTGTAACCATGAGTGTTGGGTTCTGTATCCCTTCTGCAAAGATTGTCTTGCCAGTACCCCTGTCTGTTGGGTAAAAATAGACAAAGGCAATCCTATTAACTGCGAGGGATGCGCAGGGCGCTGGCATGCTGGCCATGGCAGCCCGGTCTTGGTGTTCCCTGGGTGCAGGAATGACCAGACAAGGCTGTATTGCCATCTAGTGGGAAGGCATGTCATGGAGCTCCTGGTGCCATCTGCATGGTGCTGTACCTCTCCCAGAACTCTCGCTGTTAGCTGGTGCAGAGGGAGAAGAGGAGGGAGTGAATACAGATTTCTGGAGGCATTGATTTGAGAATTCTCTAACATATGTTAATGACTATGAGTCAGGACTTCTGGGTCCTCTTATCTTCCCTGCTAACAATTCACCGTGTGGTTTTGGACAAGTTTCTTCACCTTTCTGTTTCCTATCTGTAGATTAGAGATTAATGGCTAGCTTTAGGGAGAATATTCCAGGATTACTTTGATGTTCAGATATTACCTTGATCATGTAAAACATTAAAGAGTGATAAATATTATGTGATCGGGGACCATCGTGAATTATGGACTCTGATTAGCCAGAAAGTGAATAAATTCAATTAAAGCTAAGTCAAATGCATTTGAGCGTATGCTTTGTTAATCTGTTTGCCAAAGCTAATTTAATTTTAATTACATTAATAGTTAGTAGGGTATTAATCAAAGTCCTGTTACCTACACTGAAAAAAGAATCCAGTCTGAGGAATGACAGCTCTCACTGCAGCAAGCCTGCTATCAGGAAAATCCTTTCCTAAGCAGCAGTTGGGGACTGCCAGATTTGATGCATATATTATGGCTGTTGTTTACTTAGAATAGATAATTCCTTAGCTTTTTTTTTTTGTTTGAAGTGTTTCTGTTTATTTCCAGTGAACAGATATGGATCTCTGAAAAAAATAGTTTACTGTTCTCATATTGCCCTTCACAGATGAGAAGGGCAATCCCCCCATCCATGTCACAAACTTTTGTTTTGTGCTTCATTGTTCCATTTCCCTTTGGCCAGGAATACCAGCCTCCTTCTTCATTTCAGGTTTTTCCCACTTCTGCCTTTTCTCCTATGTACCATCTGTATGCCTGGAACAACATCCTCATTCCAGTGCAGAAAGCACTCATCATCTTCAAATCCTCCTTGAACACCCACTTCTTCTAGCATGGCCTGACAAGTATCCATATAGTACCATTTCCTCCTTAGATCACGCTCATGATGGCTTTTGCTCCCTTAGATTGCTCCTTAGATTTGCAGTTTAGACTGCAAACCCTTGCCCTGGAGTGCTGTCACCATCTGTGTGTGGTATAGTGTTGAGCCTGCTGGCAGCACTTGACAAATAATGTTAATGCCAGCCACTCTTGTTTTCTTCATGTTTGCACTGCCCGAACCCTGCTGCATATTTATAGCTGTGTAACCCAGTTACATTATCACATATCAATCTGATAAATTATGCGGTGCGTGTGTTTGGATCACTGGATGCAGTACCTGCACCTGTGTTCTTGCTTGTGCACAATGTGCTGCTCCCTGTTGGCAGAAGAACACCAGGGTGAGATATTGAGCTGACCTGAGAGAGAAGACATTTGAGCCATGGTGAAAAGTGTTAGCCCTGATAGAAAAATGAGGGATGAAGAAAGACATTGTGAAGTACTTTGTGCCCTCTGGAAGTCAACTGTTCATTCTCAGCAGTCCCCTCAGGGTCTTCTTTCTCCTTAGCAGAACAGCAGTACCAAATAAAACAAAGCAAAGTCCTTTTGATTTGCGTCTTGTATAGCTCCACTTCTCCCACAAGCAGAACTGTAGGGACTCTGGAATGAAACATGACTGATACAAATAGAGCAGGCAGTTACGATTAAATCCCTGTAACACACCATTGAGAACCTGCTCAGTTCTGACAGGACTCTCTTCCCTCGTGCACAGAGCAGCCTGGAGTACTGTCTGGGTATTGCAGTTTCCCTGCAGGTCACCAGTGAAAACAGGAGTGAGCTCTCGGAGCTCTTGTTAAGAATATTTCCTGTATGAACTTATTTCCCTGCAAGCCTTTTGCAGGAGAGGGCAGTGATCCAAAAAGTCAATTGTAACCTTCTTGTCCGGATTATTTGGCTGCTTTTTCCAAATCTGTTCTAGAATGCTCACTCTTCATTGGTTTTATTTATTTCTGCTGAATCCTTGCCTGAAATACCACTTCCAGTAGCTTATTGATTTGGGGGGTTAGTGGAGAGTGTAGTAGCTTAGACCCTAGCCTGTGCCTTGGTGTGTCTTCTGAATCTCTTTGTAACATGGCAAATAAGGTTATTTTCTTAATACCCTTGAAGTGTGACTGAGGAGTCTGCATTAGAGGATGCCACAGACAGCAAGGAAGCAGGAGAGTCAAGCATCCATGTCCAAGCTGATGGTGAGTTGTTGGGCACTGTGATTTGTACTTTTAGGGCACTTCTTGCTGGAGGTGCATCTGTAGATCCGGTGGGTCTTGTCAGAAATGTCCTTCCTCCAGTCATATAGAATGGGGAAGGGAGGAGAAAATCTAGGGACCAAATCTAAACATAGTCCCTTAAAACCTGTTGCCTACCAAATGCAAATGATGGGAAGTTTCCCTCTTCCCTTTCTTTGGAGAAAGGTTTGTGAACAGGGCTTATGGCCAACAGCGCTGTGGGGAAAGCTCCCTGACTTCATTCACCTGCTGCTTTGTTTTTTCTGCCATTGCTATTTTGATTTAAGGCTGCTAAAGGGACTCTGTCTTCCTAGGTACAAATGCAAAGGAGTACACAGCTGAAGATCTCTCTAAAGAGAGGAAATTCTCTGAGGAACCAAAGGCTCCTGAGGTGAGTAGACACCACTCCATGCAGGGGTGGTGCAGAACATACAACCTCCCCCTCCATCCCAGAGAAGCCCGTTGCCACTGGGAACCAGATGGCACCCACGTCTGGAGCTCTGTCTCCTGCTGTAAGCTGTTGTCCCTGGCAATAAGGCATAATATATCTGCAATTAGTGCGCAGTCTGCTCTGACTTGCTGCTTTTGTACCTCTGCTAGCCTGTACCTTACCTACTGCTGGCTGTTTGTGGATGCTGGGGTTCGTTAAGATTTCAGTATTCATCTGGAAAGACAGAAAGTTGAATTGAAAGAACCACTGAAAAATATATGTGTTGAGCTAAATACATCCTTTATGTTGCTGAAGAGCAGTGTAAAAAAATTCAGGTAATGGTAGTAAAGGTGCAGCTGCTGTGGCACTTGCCATCGCAGTGGGTATGAGTAGATAGTGGGAGTCTGTGTTTTTGAAAGGCAGTTTGGAAAAATGAGACACAGGTGAAGCCAGCAACCTGAGTTTCTTTTGCATGAAATACCTTGCCCACATGCTAGATGTTAAACCAGGATCTTAAGCTGTGTAAATCTGTAAGCAGGCAAAGATTTAACCCATGGTGGGAATCAGCCTTAATAGTCTTCCATAATTGGAGAAATTTGTTGGTATAATCGAATGTATCATCCTGCCCTTGTTTGAGTTCCTTACTCTGTCCTGTGTCGTGTTCACTTACTTCTACTTCTGCAGTGGAGAAACGTGAGCTGATTGTGTCCCTTACCAACTCATCGTTACTCCAGTCTCCAGAGACTGGATCATACAACGTCTACAGAGGCTGTAGAAACAACCATGTGTACTAATAGGCCTGGTACTATGACACAGGGATTGCTGATTTAGCAGCATTGGGAGAAGGAGCGTGGATGAGATTGTTTCTGATCAGCCTCCTGTGGATTCAAGCTTAAATGTGTTTTCTTAAGGGGTAGAGAGCTTAGGTCGCTACAAAAAGCAGGTGTAATTTTTAATGTCTTCTACTGAGAGATTGAACTTCATCTTGACTCCCTCTTTCGGCAGGTGTTGAGCTCTGGAGGTTCACTGAAAGTGACTATCCAGCAGAGCAGTGAGAGCAGAGCTATCAGTACAACAGCTCTGAAACCAGGGCACTGGACCTGCGAGGTGGGCACAGCTGATTCCAGCCCTGAATCGGTCCTTAAATTCTACTGTTACATCTGCAAGACCAACTGCTGCAGTCAGCAGGTAAAAATCCACAGGTCTGACTGGGATATGGGTGGTCAAGAGAAGTGAATTAGATGGCCAACTGCCATGGGGAGATGCAGCAACAGGCTTGTTAGCAAGGGCTCATGCTTTGGGAACAAGGAACATAAAAAATTATGATAAGCATGCAGATAAAATAAATCTCTCCTGAGGAGCTGGCAAGCAACCTGCTAGAGAGTGGATGTGGGTGGATCCACAGGCAGCCATGCTCTTAAGCTTTTATACCATTTCATTGTTAAACAGCAGTCAAGAGAATGGAAAGCATAGCTCATACCTATTATTTTCTGTATTTTGAATACATTTAAATGGATTTTTCTCCTAACCTCTCTCTCAGAATTTCCAGTCCCACATGGCTGGAATTCAGCACCAGCAGCGACTTGGGGAGATTCAGCACATGAGCAATGTTTGTTTTGTTTCACTACTGCCCATGGTGAAGGAGCAGAAGGTGCTGGCAGAGAAAGATGGGTAAGTGTTGGTCTGCGCCAGAAAACACAATCTGAATGTGGCCCTACATGGGTTCTAAAATTTTTCACTGCACCAGCGTGCCCCTGTGTTCTAGGTAAGGTACAAAATCCCTCTGGTTTCAGGGGCCTTACTCT